GCATCTCCAGCCACAGCGGCGTCTGGTCGGCGTTGATAATCCACGTCGTCTCGATGCCACGCTCACGACGCTTGTCACGGACGAATTGCCAGAAGTTCTTGCATTGCTCCGCGACATCTGCGGTTGAGCACAGTTATGGTTAGTGAGTAACAAGTGCATACACATGGCATAGAGAATAAAAATTATTCTTACGAGCGGCGGTTTTCTGGGCGACCTTCGTCTTCATTCGCACGCTGAGATTCCACCGCCGACGGAACCGGTCCGACCACCGTTGGCTCCCTTTCCACTTCACGAGGGGGTAGAGAATCTTCATGAACTCCCGGGACCACTCCTGCAGGCGGCCGACGGACACCGCGGTTCCCTTGCGTCGCCAGTCGAGCAGCCGCTCATACACCTTAATCTCCATCGGGCGGTACCACGACGCCCTGCCGCGACCGTGCATGTGGCACCTGGCAGAGTGGGCTTCCTTGAGGAAATCAGCGGCACGCTTCCAGTTGGCGAGGCACTTGCGGTGGATGCCACTCTCGCGAGCCAGAGCGCGCACCGACACCGCCAAATCCAGCTGCGCGACCCACTTCAACTTCTCGGCGGCAGTATAGGCCTGACGCTTGTGGTCGTTGGGCTTGTGCCTGGGAGAGGGGGGGCGAGAATCACGGTTCTATGAAGAAGGGTGAGGTCGCTTTCGATTACGTGGAGGATAAGTTGGTATCGGGAGTTTCTCGGGAAGGCCATCGCGTGACCAGTATTCGACGCCGCCGTCGTCGTCACCGCCCGGCGCACCCTCGGGAAACACATCCTCAGCAGTGCCGGCCTCAGTAGCGGCCTCGGTGTCGGCCTCAGTGCCACCATCGGCGCCGGCGTTGCCCTCAGCGCGCCAACCGTCCTCGGCGTCTTGCACGTCGTCGTCAGCGCCGACTGCAGATTCATCCCACGTGAAATCTTCTGGCTGGCCCCAACGTGGTGCTGGCGCTGGAGCGGGTACGTCAACATCGGGGCCCTTGTCATAATCAGGTTCCGACAGATACTCGTCGAACGCAGATGGGAGCAGGAGCGTGAGCACGGGGTGGTTGTCGATGTGAGGGGCCACCGGACACGGAGGAACAGGAGGAACAGGAGGAGCAGGGGGAGTCGGAGGCACTGGAGGAGCCGGAGGAGCAGGCGGCGCAGGAGGGTGTGGTGGCTCTGGAGGGTCTGGAGGTATGCGGCTATACCACCCGTCGGATGTAACACGGAACGCGGGCCTACTAGAAGGTTTTTTCTTGAAGAGAAAATGAGTGCCTGTGAATTCCGCCATGGCTTCCGCAGCCAGGCGGGCGAGAAAACGAAGACTGAATCAAAAACTGCAACCCTGGGTGTTGAAATGGGAGATTGAAGGGGACCCCTTCTGGTTTGCGGCTCGGGGTCCTCGTCGATGAGAGACGAGTACACCCCTGCCCCAACCCGCAGAGGAGGGTTGGGGGCACCATCCATGCTGCGCTGGCACGGCAGATTCCATCACGTTCTGGATGGTTCTGCCGAGATGCTCCTGCCTGGCAGCGCATGCCAACCAGATTGGGCCGCACGGCAGGTCTTGCATCAGCGCTGGCAGGTGCGTTGCTCCGGGACGGGTTTTGTGCGGTGGGAAATCGAACCGCGGCAAGTTTCGAAGTCATTCCATGCACGACCCCGCGTGCATGGTACAGTGTTGTATTCGCCTTCTTCACGGCTTCAGAATGATATCCTTTACAGAGAAATTCATTTTTGCCTTTATAAAAGCGCCGGCGCTTATGGCCGTTACTCAATTACAAGCGCCCCCCTTAAAAAATAATAATTTATTACCGTATAAGCGCATATGCGCTACTATCTGGGGTATTATGGTACCGGTAGTTACGGTACTAATAAACACCTCTTCCGAAAGTGGCGCCGAAACCCATGCTATTCAATTTCCCTTGGGTGTTGGCAAGAATCGCCATTGTGTGTAGGTAAGCTGGAGAAGTCTCAGGCAAAGTGGTGGTGCTGTGCTTGCGTGTCGAGGTTTCGCTGTAAAACGAGGCGTGATCTTCAGGTTTTTCAGAGCGCAGTGTTGGACTGCAATAGGACACATCAGCATTGAGTTTGATTCGCACGTCTCGGTTAGCCGTCAAGTGTTGCTGATACGAGGTTTTGGCGAGCTTGCCAATTTACAGGCGAGGAAAACCAATCTGATACAAGGTGCCCCTGATAGGAGGTCGTACGAACACGCTCTTAGTGGGTTAGTGTCAAATCAAACAATCAGGATGACCATGGAGGGTGCAACCCCCCACATCAAGAGAGGCAGACGAGCAAAACCCCATCCCCACACCTATTGCCAGCCTCATGCCTTTACCGTCAACCGCACCCAATCAACCCTTTCAACAACCCTTCCACCACTTTCCCAGCAACATTCTTCCACAGCGAGCAGCCAAGGACGCTACCACCACCACCTTCTCTTCCTCTGCACATGCGTGGCTTGAAGTTTTCTTTTCACTGCCTGGTCAGCCATCCTGTGCTTCCTCGCCGTAACTAGGTTAGTCAGTCTGAACGTGCACGGCCTGCAGTAGCCATACCATCAATCACACATCTGCTTGTGAGTGCTGCTCTGGCACCGCTGTGTGCACGCCACGCTACGCCACGCTGCGTCACGCCACGCGACTCCATGCCACAGCATGCCATCATCGGATGCGGGGCAGCAGCAGGAAGCCATCGAAGCCAGGGTGCCGGCCTGCTGTGCTGCGCGCCGACCGCCTTCCTCCACTCGGCCCTCCCTCCACCCCCACGCCTCCCCTGCTCCCACCTTCTGCACCACCATCTATACCCTCTCGCCCCACACTCTCGCTCTCACTCGCCCTGCCATGCTGCCACGCATTGCCAACTGTCACACCCTCTGCTGCCACTGCTGCCGCGTTTTCATGCAGCAGAGGGCTCGCCGTCCCCTCTCCTGTGCATCTACCTGGCACGGGACACTCAGCCACCCGGACCCGCTCTCGACTGCCTTTACCTTGGCTATCGTCTGTGCCTTTCCTTCTCTCCTTCTTACCTTCCTTCCCTATTGGGCAGCCAGCCTTGTGAGCTGAGCTGGCAACCTTGGCCACCAGGCTGGCAGACACAGCTGTAGAGGGAACAGCGGTGCCAACAGAGGGGGCAGCAGTGCCAGCTGCTGTGCCTGCAGCAGCTGCAGCTGCACCAGTGAGGCCAAGAGCGCAAGCAGCAGGTGCATTGTGGGGGGCAGGAGGGTGTGTGGCAGCGGCAGCAGCAGGAGGCTCGGCCCCGATGAGAGCAGCTGGCTTGGGTCGGTCGCTGCGCCGCTTCTTGAGCACGGGGAAGGAGAGAGAGGGCTGCTTGAGGGAGGTGGAGGGTTGCTTGAGGGAGGCGGAGGGTTGCTTGAGGGAGGCGGAGGGTTGCTTGAGGGAGGCGGAGGGTTGCTTGAGGGAGGCGGAGGGTTGCTTGAGGGAGGCGGAGGGTTGGCCATGGGACAACAATGAGGGCTTGGAGACATGCAGTGCAGTGGTACTGGCGGTGGCACCTGTGGTGGCACCTGTGGTGGCACGTGTGGTGGCACCTGTGGTGGCACGTGTGGTGGCGCGTGCCTTGGCAGGACAAGATACCTGCAATGCGTCTCCACGGCTTGCCACTGCATCATCTTGACGCGTTGCTGCTGTTGCTTGCATGCTTGCTGTGGCTCTTGGTACAGCTCCACCTGTGCTTACTCCACTGCTTCCTGCTCTGCTCGCTGCTGCTGTGGCTAACTCAGCTGATGCCACCACAACAGCATGTTTTGCTACTGCCTCCCTGTGATGCAGCCCACCACCGGTGCCTGCAGTGCTAGCACAGCCATCCCCGTCGCCATCGCCGTCACTGCTGTCCCCCCCTCCACCACTCCCCGCCCCTCCCTCTCTCCTCCTCTTCCTAACTGACCTGCTCCTCTTCCCACTCACTCTCACGCCTGCCCCTGCCTCACCCCCTGGGGCAGTCAGGCAGGCAGCTGGCGATGCCAGCAGTGCAGGCAGAGGAGCAGCAGCAGGGGAGGTGGCAGGCGGGGCAGGGAGAGGAGGGGGGTCAGGGGGAGAGGGCATGCGGGATGCATCGGTGGGTTGGGGATGGGAGGAGCAGGCAGGCAGAGGTGGCGCGGTGATGCAGGTGGTGGGGGTGGCCTGGCATGCTACAGACGAGCCAGGGGGGCTGGCTGTAGCACATGTGGGTTTGACGTTGCATGGCACGGCTGCCTGCAGGGCGCGAGGGCTTCTCTTGCCTTTGGTGGCTGTTGCAGCAGAAGCAGCAGAGGCACCCACGGCAGTGGCTGCAGTGCTGGCAGTGCCACTGGCTGCCACACATGTGGCACCGCATGCAGAACTGGGAGCGCCACTGACCCTTGCTGCTGGTGGTTCTGTTGCACCCCCAACAGGCACCGCTCCTCCTCTCGCCCCACGCACTGCCTTGCCTTCCCCTGCCAATGCCAGCTTCCGCTTGGCACTGCGACACGCCTTCAGCCCCGAGCCCTTGAGCCCCGAGGCAGCACCTGCTGTGATGCTCGCTCCACCTGCTGGGGGAACAGCTCTGCCTGGCAGCGCTACAGCTTCTGCTACAGCTGGAGCCGTCACTGCGGACGCGGGGGAGGCCATGGTGAGCGACGCAGTGGGCAGTGCAGGGGCAGGTGGGGCAGCAGGGGGCGATTGATTGGCAACAGGGGCAGCTGCAGCTGCGTCGGCCTTGAGGCGCGATGCGAGTTGGGCCACCGTGCGACGCAGGCTCTGATGGTGGCGAAGGGGTGGGGGGGAGAGGAGCGACAGGGAGGGAATAGGGCAGGATAGGGAAAGGATGAGGAAGGGGTGGGAAAGGGTGAGGAAGACAGGGAAAGAGTGGGAAGGGATGAGGAAGGAAATGGAAGAACAGGATATTGACGAATGTGATGATAATGGTGTTGGTGATGGGTCACCATGTTGGTCAGCACCAGTGGGTGAGCAGCAGGGCGGTGACATGACAAGCAGAGCAGGGCCGATGCTCACCTTGATCTCTGGGCGCAGGTCCACCGGAACGGCAGCAGCCTGGCTGATGAGCGCCCGCAGATGTGACAGGCGCTGGGCGGACTGACACCCAGGCGACTGTGACTGTGATGAGTGTGACTGAGCTGAGTGTGCCTTGGCAAAGCGTGACAGCCACCCAGAAGCTGCCACGTGTCGCCGTCTGGCTTCCCCTAGGATAATATCTGTTGCGGCCACTGTGTGCGAGCCCTGCAGGGAGGTGAGAGGGAAGAGGTGACGGAGGAGCCAGAGATGGAATGACCGAGTATGAACAAGACACGAGAGCAAAGGAGGGAAGAGCCAAGGCGAGACAGATACTAAGGCGGATGCCCGTTTTACCATCTCCACAGTAAGTGCAACTTTGAGCAGTTGTCTCACCGTCTGCACCAGCTGTGCCAGGGTGGATGGTCGGGGTCGTGGGCGGCCAATGAGAGTGCTACATGTGGCAGCCCTCCAGCAGTGGGCGGCCACTGCCCTCTGCACTGCCGCCAGCGTGCCACCCGCCTCAACTGAGCAATCCGCCTCTACCACCACCGCTGGCGCTGCTGCCGCTGGCGCTGCTGCCGCTGTGTGAAGTGCCGCCCCTCCTCCACCATCCTTGCCACTCTGCCCTGCCGACCGCTGCACCTCCTCTTGCCCTCCTGCCGCTACTCCAACAGACACTGCCGCAGCAGCAGCAGCAGTGCCAGTGACCTCCTTCTTGTGGGCCCCTTGCACCTGCATCTGCTGCTGCTGCTGCATTCGTGCAGGCAGTGAGAGAACTGCATTCACATGCAGAAGCCACGAGGCAAGAGGCTCTGCTGCCTGCTCTGCTGCCTGCCCTGCTGCGTGCGCTGCGGTTGGAAGTGGTGCCGCTGGTGTGGCAGCAGGGGCGGTGGAGGAGAGTGATGGCGGCGAGGCAAGTGGCATGTGGAGCGGAAGACAAGAGGCCACCTGAAGAGGGGGAAGAGGATGAAGGTTGAGCGTGAGCAGCAGGGGCGAGATGAGTGGGCATGGCGAGGGCAGTGAGAGCGAGAGGAAGATGGGCTGATGACAAACAACTATCTGGTAAGTGGCAAGAGTTGAAATGAAGCATACGAGCGAAGATCTACCTGGGCACGGAGTGAGAAATCATTGGAAAAAATACCTCAAACAATGCTGACAAATACCCACCGGAAACAATGCTGAAAATTCACCTGAAGCAGACAGCTGAGGACGGCGGGGGGCACGGGTTCAGCATGACGTGGCAAGGACAGGGTGGTGGAGAGCGCTGATGTCAGCAAGTGACAGCAACGCGTTGCTAATTGGACGAGCTGCTCCAAGCTGTGCATGGCTGCAATCCTGGTGGAGGCGAGCAGACGAGAGCATAGCGGGGGACACGTGGCACAATGCGAGAGACATGGGTGGCTGAAACGTGCACCCTGGCGTGAGCGCAGAGAGAATCCATGCATGTCAACTTGGGGTGCAATGCGTGTGTGGTGGTGCAGGCATACGTGTGCTTGTGTGGCACGACATGAATGCCAAGTGTGGAAACGCGCGTGTTGCCGGCCGTGGCCGACAAGCATGTGTACACGTGTGCATGAGCGAGAGCGGTACCTGGGGTGGAGAGAGAGAGCGGTGCCTGGGGTGGAGAGAGAGAGAGCGGTACCTGGTAGACATGAGCAAAAATTCGAACCTCTGTTCAGTTCGACTCGAAAGTGTTCGACTGTTTTTATTGCCCAAGTGTTCGTCACGAACACGTTCGACTGTTCGAGTGCAGAAAAATGCACCAACACCTAGGTGTTCGAGAACACAATGTGTTCGTCTCGAACACCTAGGCGTTCGAGGGAAAATTCAGCGTGTCAAAGTATGACACGCTGGTTGGATCTAAAAGGGGAGGGCAACGATTGAGCTCAAGAATGAGCTCAAGAATGATCTCAATCGTCGATATAGCCTAAGGATGACATTCCGCCCCCTACCCACTAAAACTACCACATTCCCACGGTCAAAATTCCACATTGTGGCTGGAAACGTTAGGTATAAGGTTGGATTAGGGTAAGAGACAGTTAAAAATAGGTACTAAGGGCATTTCGGTTTAGGTTGGAGTTTAGCAAGGCAAAATTGGATATCCACCAGATCTGCGCCAAGCCTAACTATATCTCTTGTAGGGCTATAGGAAACGTGATATTGCTTCTAGTACACTCGCCCTGCCTTAATGTGACTATACTGAAAGAACCCCCCAAAGCAAACTGTTCGAGTTCGGGTCAAACACCTTCGTGTTCGGCCTTGCCTCAAAACTGTTCGACCCTATACTCGAACGGGGAACACTAACATTTAAGAAAACTGTTGGAGTCAAACGTGTTCGGTTCAGTTCGAATTGACCAAGTGTTCGCAAACTGTTCGAAACAAACGTGTTCGGTTCACTCGTTGCTCATGTCTACCTGGGGTGGAGAGAGAGAGCGGTACCTGGGGTGGAGAGAGAGAGCACGGGAGAGGAGGTCCTCCAAGCACCGCAGCGATACGCGGGGCACGCGACGAGGCTGCACGGCAGGAGGGGAGCGGGCGGTAGGTGAGTGGAGAGCGCAGGGAGCAGCACGGAGCGGAACAAGTAAAACGAGTTGGCATGGTGACGAGTAAGCAAAGTGACTTGCAATCGTGCTGCTGTGGTGGTGTTAAGCAGGAGCAGCGGGGCGCGGGAAGTACATGGAACAACGTGGAGACGGCAGGTGTGACGGCTGCTGAGGCGAGGGAGGAGCAGAACGGGCATGTGAAGGGACCCTGCCGCCACTGCTGCTGCTGCGGCGGCGGCGACAACGGCTGCTGTTGCTCGGAGCTCTGGTCATGCTGTTGCTGCTGCGGCTGTGGGTGGCTGGCTGTGTGTGCAGGTGGAACTGCCCCCCCACCCGCGCCGCCACTCTCTACTGCCATTGCCTGCTGCTGCCATGCTGCCTCTCGCTTCTGCTCTTGCGGCTTCTCCTGTTGCTGCGGCTGCTGCTGCGCCTGTTGCTGCGACTGCTGCTGCTGGTCTTGAGAGGCGGAGGAGGTGGCAACATGCAAGTATGAGAGACAGTCGGCGTGAAATCTGTGAGGGTGCAGCGTGAGGCAGGCAGGGGGAGGGAATCGGAGAGAAGGCACATGGGATGGGGGGGAATGGGGAGTGCTGAAGGCTTGCAATGAAGGAAAGAATATATGCGGTGAAGGTGGGTGAAGGTGGTGGTGTGTGTGGTGAAGGTGGTGGTGTGTGTGGTGAAAGTGGTGACGTGGTGGCGTGTAGGGAGGCAGCAGTGGAGCAAGGAGGGAGGGAGTATCATTTATGATAAGATGCACTTGTTCTCATGCTCCACATACCTCATGCTCCACATACCTCATGCTCCACATACCCCATGCTCCACATACCCCATGCTCCACATACCCCATGCTCCACATACCCCATGCTGCACATACCCCATGCTCCACATACCTCATGCTCCACATACCCCATGCTCCACATACCCCATGCTCCACATACCCCATGCTCCACATACCCCATGCTCCACATACCCCATGCTCCACATACCCCATGCTCCACATACCCCATGCTCCACATACCCCATGCTCCACATACCCCATGCTCCACATACCCCATGCTCCACATACCCCATGCTCCACATACCCCATGCTCCACATACCCCATGCTCCACATACCCCATGCTCCACATACCCCATGCTCCACATACCCCATGCTCCACATACCCCATGCTCCACATACCCCATGCTCCACATACCCCATGCTCCACATACCCCATGCTCCACATACCCCATGCTCCACATACCCCATGCTCCACATACCCCATGCTCCACATACCCCATGCTCCACATACCCCATGCTCCACATACCCCATGCTCCACATACCCCATGCTCCACATACCCCATGCTCCACATACCCCATGCTCCACATACCCCATGCTCCACATACCCCATGCTCCACATACCCCATGCTCCACATACCCCATGCTCCACATACCCCATGCTCCACATACCCCATGCTCCACATACCCCATGCTCCACATACCCCATGCTCCACATACCCCATGCTCCACATACCCCATGCTCCACATACCCCATGCTCCACATACCCCATGCTCCACATACCCCATGCTCCACATACCCCATGCTCCACATACCCCATGCTCCACATACCCCATGCTCCACATACCCCATGCTCCACATACCCCATGCTCCACATACCCCATGCTCCACATACCCCATGCTCCACATACCCCATGCTCCACATACCCCATGCTCCACATACCCCATGCTCCACATACCCCATGCTCCACATACCCCATGCTCCACATACCCCATGCTCCACATACCCCATGCTCCACATACCCCATGCTCCACATACCCCGTGCTGCACATACCTCATGCTGCACACGTCGCATGTGAGTGCATCCTTCAGGTATTCGCCTTTCATCCCATATCCATTCACTAGCCTCTGCTCCTCCTCCTTTTCTTCACCCTTCTCCAAACGCACTGCTCCCGCATCCCCTTCCCTCTCGCCTCTAGTTTCTCCTCCTTTCTCTTCCCTCTTCTCCCCTGTCATCCCCACGCCCCCTGCACCACTCTCTCGCCCCACAGCACCACACACAACAGCAGCGGCTCTCCTCCCACCGCTGCGCTTTCCACGAACCCGCACCTCCCCGCCACCTCGTCCCTCCTTCCCGCCCACCACCGCCTGCCCATTGCTGCCGGCTGAACAAGCAGCAGCAGCGGCAGAGGCAGGCTGAGCACCGTGCAGCAGCGCACACCAGCACACAGCGTCGGGCGAAGAGACACTTTCAGCAACGACAGCAGCAGGAGCAGCAACAGCAGGCGCTGGTACCCCGCATGACCCTCGTTCCCCTTGCACTGCTGCTGCTACTGCCAACGCCACACCGGCTGTCGCTGCATAAGCAGCCTCCGTGGCGGTGGGCGCTGTAGCGGCGGGTGATACGGCGGCACCCTCTGCGGTGCCTGCCAGCACTGGTGGACGAGGAGCAGTGGCTGGCGCTGAGGGGGGTTCACACGCCTGTGCTGGCAGCGCCGTGAGGTGTGAGAGGGCAGCGGTGCGGCGGGCCAGGGAGGAGATGCGATGCAGGGCAGCCTGCACGCTGCTGTGTATGTGCTTCAGCTTCTGCACCACCTCCTCCTCACACACCCACCCCTTGCCCTCCCCCTGTGGCCCCTTGCTCCCCCCTTGTGTCACTTTGCCCTCCCCCTCCATCCCCTCGCCTCCCTCAGCCGGCCCCTCCCCCCCCCCAGTGCCTCCCTGCAGCGCGGCACAGCAGGCAGCGAGCCAGTCGTCCAGCGCTGCCACTGCGCGCTGCACCTGCTGGGCCTCCCTGCTCGCCACCACGCTGCTGCTGCCACGCACCTGTTGTGAGAATAGTTGGGCCACAGGGGAAGACAAGGAGGTGTGGAATGGTTGGGGGGATGTTGAGGAAAGGAGATGGCAGATGATGCTTGGGAGGGTTAGAACAAGCGGTTTAGATGGACGAGGGAGAGAAGAGATGGGTTAAGGATGGAGGACGGCACACGTTGGGTTGGATGAAGGGAGGGAAGGGAGGTAAGGTAAGAAGCACACAGCTGTTGTGCCATTGAAGGCTCATGCACTTTCGGAGGTGGGTGGAATGGAAGTGGCTTCTGTGCAGCATACCTGGAGGCTCTTGAGGCGCGCAAGTGTGGTGAGAGGTCGTGGTGATGTGGGCACAGGGAGGCGTGGAGCGAGCAGTTGCTGCACCTCGCTGACCCACTCCCTGGGAAGGGGACATGCGTGAAGGTCGGCGGGCACAAGGGGGTGCGTGCATGAGGAGTGGAAGGCACAACTGCGAGCGATCAGGGGGCAGACGTGCATGACTGCGGGCGCGGGCAGAAACAGTGGTGGTGACCAGGTGAACCGTAAAACTGCAGCATGACAAGAGAAGAGCGTGGGAGTGCGCAGACGCAGGCGCTGACCTGTGGGAGGCGGTGATAGCATTGAGCTGGTGGCACTTGTCCCCAACACACACCTGCAGGGCCTGCATGGCATGGCATGGCATGGCATGGCGCGGCATGGCATGGCACGGCACGGCACGGCATGGCATGGCACGGCATGGCATGGAATGGCATGGCACGGATGGCATGGTATGGCATGCACCAAGAAGGGGCAACAACAAGAGGCAAGAAACGGGAAGGCATGCAGAGGAGGAACCTCACAGTGAGGCTCAGCAGATGTTGACAATGACAAAGCTAAAGGGGCGCGTTACCATATTAATCAGATGACAACAGACAGGTGGGATCAATTCGACTGTACATGCACATAACTTAAACTCCCATAATCGCATTCACCGTAGCGCCACTCCACCATTCCCTTGCCTCACGTCTCCACTCGCCTCACTCCCCTCCCTCCATCTCTCTCACCATGCCACGTGCCACCATCGCCTCCACCTCCTGCACCTCACAGCTAGCAGGTCCACGTGTCAGCATCTCATTCGCCGCCTGCACCCACTGCTGTGCGTCCGCCAGGGCCGAGTGCAGCAGGGAGAGGCGTGCGGAGGGGGGCTGAGGGCGAGTGGACGCGGCAAGCTCAGCGAGGCCGTCGGATAGGGGTGGAGAGGATGGGACTGGCAATGAGGACGGTGGAGGGTGTGCGGACGCATGAGTGCGTGGCAGCATGGGCGCATGGCACTGTGGGTAAACCGCCACCAGTGCTTCCATCTCCTCCATGCTCGCCTTGCCTCGTCTCCTCCCATCCGTGCCCGCACCACCACTCTGCACCGCACCATCCTGCACGGCACCACCACTCTGCACCGCATTATCTGCAGTGCCAGACAGCAGGGCATGGGCGGCGACCTCCCAGTGCAGGCGCTGCAGCAGCGCGCGCACAGCAGGCAGCTCGGGCACCGCCACGCCCAGCGCTGCCTCCTGGGTGAGCAGCGACGACAGCTCAGCCGCACTGGCGCTCGCTGCTGCTGCTGGCACTAGCAGCTCCGGGGAAGCCTGGCCTGCAGACGATGGTGCTGCTGATGCACGCAGAGGGGCGCTTGAGTCGACCGAGGGGGCCACTGATTCAGTGGTGATGGGCGCTGCAGCTGGGCTGGCTAGGGGGGATGGTGCAGCAGCTGCGGTGGGTGGTGTGACTGCTGTGGGTGGTGAGAGCAAGGAGGTGGCGGAGTGGAGGGCCCGGGAGGCAGCGGATTGCCAGGAGGCGAGCGAGGAGCGCAGCGCAGCAAGCTGAGCTGCCTGCAGTGGACGCACAGGCAGTGCTGTGAGGGCCGCATGCATGGCCTGGTGTGCCGGGGGGAGGGGAGAGTGGGGAGGGGAAGAGATAAGGGAAGGTTAGAGCAGGTAAACTAGAGTGAGTGCATGTTGCAATAATGAAGGGGCCAAATATACCAGCATGGCTCAGTGTGCACAGGGCAGCATGCACAACAGTTTCTTGAGAAGGATGTTCCACCAGCATAACCTCCCCACCCCCACCATGCGGCCCCACCATGCGGCCCCACCATGCGGCCCCACCATGCGGCCCCACCATGCGGCACCACACACCTCAACTTCTCCCACTGTCACTCGGGCATCCGTGCCCTCCTGCACCCCCACTCCCTCGCCCTCCCCTCGCCCTCTCCTCCTCCGCTTCCATCTCCCACCACTGCCTCTCTCCTTCCCCCCACCCGGAGTACCAACAGCATTGCCAGCACCAGCACCCGCAGCACCACCCCCAGTGGCAGCAGCAGAGCGGCGCACAGCCAGCAGCAGGTGGTCGGCTCGAGCTGCTGCTGCTCTTGCTGATGCCAGCGCTGACATCAGGTGAGCATGGCCTGCCAGCGATGCTGCCATGGACTCCGCCTCCCTGTGCGGGCGACGGGCGGGGGTGGGAAGGGGGAAGAGGGGGGGAAGGAGGGGGGAAGGGGGAGGAAAGGAGGGGGGAGGGTGGGGGGGAAGGGGGGGAGGGACAAAAGGGAGCAAGGGAGGAGCAGGGGGGAAACAGCGGGAAAAGGAACACGTGTGGTGTTCCTTTTCATGGAATATGAGGCGGCTTCACACATGGACAGGGGAATTTGACAGGTGGTTCGCAAACAAAACTGCACTGCAATCACGACAGCCCATCATCTCCCCCACACACATCACTATCACCCTCATATCGCCTTCCCCTCTCTCACCTGCCCATCGCCTCGCCCTCCTCCAGGCTGCATCCCTCCTGCAGCGCCCTCTGCGCCCTGGCCTGCCAGTTGCTGCCTGCCGCCACCACCGCTTGCACGCGCGCCACCACTGCACTGCCAGTGGGCAGCCTGCGGGTGTGATGTGAGTGCAGGAGGCGGGGCAGGTGGGACAGGTCAAGGAGTTGAAGAGGTGGGAGAGGTAGGGGGAGAGTAAGAAGCATGGTGGAAGCATCTGGTTGAATGCATGTACTGCCATGACAGGCCCAGCCCATTAGCAGGCAACCCCGGAGGGCTGAAAGCGGCAATCCCACGCCCCACGTGGCACGAGTTTTCCGCCTTTCACGCCTCCCTTCACGCACCTCTCCCTCTCTAACCTCTCCCTCTTTCACCTCTTCCTCCCTCAATCTCCTGCTCTCGCCTAACCTCCTACTAGGGTTCGAGTTCGCCCCCTCTCGAACATCGACTTCTGCCGAACCGAACAGTGTTCGGTTCGGCAAACGACTTGGGCGAAAATTGGTGTTCGCCGTTCGCCCTAGGAGGTGAACGATTTGCTGCAGCAGGCGAACACGAACATGTTCGAGGCGAACATGTTCGTGTTCGCCCAGGGGGATATTCGATATAATCACACAGGTCAGAATTGACCTCTACCCGCCCCTACAACTAGAGAATTGACCTCTACAAGCTTGATCCCGTAGCTACCAACCCTTAGTGTTTCTGAAATTACCCTACACTATTAACTACTTAGATGAAATGTCCGTGTAAAAGTTAAGGAACGGTGTGCGATGGCTCTTAAAACCGCAAGGCTATGGCGGTTGTGGGAGGGAGGGCTAAGCGCCAAAGTCGTTTTGAGTTTGAGCTCAACAAATGAGCTCAAACTCAAAACGGCCGCGACCTAATTTTGGTCGCGGCCAATTATGACGCGAACACTTTGGTGTTCGCCTGCCCCCCAAATCGAACACGAACGTGTTCGTGTTCGTCTTTCCTTCGCCAAATGGAGGTGGCGAACGTCGAACATGTTCGGCCGAACACCGAACATGTTCCACCCGAACGAATTAGGCGAAAAAAAAAAATAGTTCGGTTCGCCTCGAACATGTTCGAGGCGAACCGAACAGGTGTTCGAGATTTTGCTCAAGCCTACCTCCTACCACTCGCACTCCTCCCTCCCCCACTTGCTCACCGCTCCCCCTGCGTCTGCAGTGCCAGCAGCTCGTCCAGTGAGGCGCGGCGCATGAGCGCCCCCTCTGCCGCCTCCTCCCACTGCACTCGCTGCAGCTGCTGCTGCACCTGCTCCATCTCGCCCACTGCCGACACGCATGGGGGGGTGGACGGGTATGGAGGGGAGGAGCGTGAAGAAGAAAGCAATGATGATCATGCTGTTGCTGTTGCTGTTGCTGTTGCTGTTGCTGTTGCTGTTGCTGTTGCTGTTGCTGTTGCTGTTGCTGTTGCTGTTGCAGTCTGTTGACAATGAACGTGTGATGCTGCTCACGCTCATGCTCATGCTCACGCTGTTAACACTCAAAGTCCCTCTCACAGCATTCACGCGCCCCGCGACCACCCCACACTCCACCAACCCCCCCCCGCCACTCACGAGTGACGTGCATGTGTGTGCCCGCCTCCACCAGTGCTGCCAGCTCCTCCTTCCACCCACTCTGCCTGCCCGACGCTGTTGTCACACTGGCGGGTGTTTTGGCGGGCGGTATGATAGCGATGGGTGTGACAGTGGCGGGTGTGACAGTGGCGGGAGGTGATGTGTCAAGCAGAGTAGCTTGGACGGAGGGAGTGCAGGGGGCAGCAGGAGGGGCAGCGGCTGCAGTGGCAATGGCATCAGCAGTGGCAGGAGTGTGGATGGGTGCAGAGCGGTCCGAAGCCAGAGAACAGGCAGCAGCAGTGGGGGGAGGGGTTGCTGGAGAGGCAGCAGCAGCAGTGGTGCTGCGGGCAACAGGCAGGGGGGTGGCAGGAGGAGCGAGAGTAGCAGGAGCAGCAGCAGCAGGAGACGGGATGAACGGGGAAGAGCCGTCAGCCTCATGCTTGCTGCTTGCGACACTTGCTCCTCTTGGCACTGACCCATGCCCCCCCTGCCCCTCCTCTTCACCCTGCTCCTCCTTTTGCCACTGTTTCAGTCCATGCTTGCCTCCCCGCCCATCCTTCCCCCTCCCCCCATCCTTCCCCCTCCCCCCATCCTTGCCCCCCAGCGCAGCCAGCAGCGCGCGAGCCCTCTCCCCCCAGCGCCGTGCCTCGTCCCGCCGGGCCTGCAGCTGCGCCATCGCTGGCAGGCGCACCGCCACGCCCCTCGCCTCCTGTAACAGCGCTTCCATGTCCTGAGGGGGGAAGGAGCAGTGGATGGGAGATGCGGAAGAGGGAGGGGTTGGGTGGGGTGGAGGGGTTGAGAACGGGAGAAAGACACAGCGGATTTTGAGACAACACACAAGTCACCTCGCTGGCGTCTGCACCGCCACCCCCCTTGCCTCCTGCAACAGCGCTTCCATGTCCTGAGGTGGGAAGGAGCAGTGGATGGGAGATGCGGAAGAGGGAGGGGTTGGGTGGGGTGGAGGGGTTGAGAACGGGAGAAAGACACAGCGGATTTTGAGACAACACACAAGTCACCTCGCTGGCGTCTGCACCGCCACCCCCCTTGCCTCCTGCAACAGCGCTTCCATGTCCTGAGGTGGGAATAAGGGGGGGAGAGGGGGATGGGAGACGCAGGGGAGGGAACGGAGTTAGAACAGATACATGGACATTTGAGTAAACTTAGTAGTCAAGTCACTTGCTGGCTGCCCCTCCGCCACCCCCCACGCCTCCTGCAACAGCGCTTCCATGTCCTGAGGTGGGGGGAGGAGGAGGGGGAAAATGGGATGGGAGATGCGAGAGAGAGGGGAGATGGGGTGAGAATGGGAGAAATATATAAAGAACGTTTGAGTCGAATCAAAGGTTGCCTCGTTTTCAGGAACGGGAGAAATAGATAGAGGGAGGGACGCGAGGCGCAAGGGGAGGGGGTTTGGGCAATGAGGCAGAGTGAGAGATGCAGGGAGAAGCAGCAGTGAGTGGCAGCACGAAAGGAGTGAAAGCAGAACAGGATGGGCATGGCAGGGTGGGAAGGTGAAGAGTGGAAGAGTGGAAAATGGGCATGGCAGCACCCGGGGGCGGCAGCACCTGAAGGGTGGGCGAGGAGTGCAGCAGTGCATGAGCACGCGCGTCCATGTGCCTGGCGGCCAGCAGCAACGATGCCAGCACCTCGTGCTCCGCCACGCGCACCCTCAGGCGCTCGCCCTGGGGGGGTGTGATGTGAGGGAGGACAGCACACGGCGGCACGCATCGGAGTCGGGCAGGCGCACAGAGAGGAGGACGAGGGGAGAAGAGTAGAAGGGGACATGGGGGGGAGAGATGAGAGGAGCAAGAGGGGCGATGTGTGAGGGAGGTTGGAGAGATGAGGGTTGTGCGCACTGCAACGGGCATTTTCGAGCAGACTGGACAGGACAGGCACAGAAGCATGGTAAGCAGGAGCGATTGGGCAAGGCAGCACCTGGGAGTGCAGCATGGCGAGGGAGTGCAGATTGGGCAGAGCGGCAAGAGCCGCTGCTCGAGGCGGCTTCCCCCGCGGCACTGCCCTCTGCACCGCCTCCACCCAGTGCTGGTGGGACGGGTGCATGCGGGGTGGTGAGTGGGGGAGGGAGAGGGGAGAGGGACGGGGGGACGGCAGAGGGGAAGGAGAGGGAGGGAGGGGCGCGAGAGGAGCAATTAGGAGAGCCAGAGGAACTAGTACCACCAGTGAGTGGGTCTCTCATTGGCCAAACGATGGGGGCAATCAAGACGTGTGCTGCGATGGCGTTTTAGGCCACGGAAGCAACAGAAGGTTGTACTAGAGATTCCAAATGCCTCTTGACCATTTATGGTGTGGTTAGAAAGGTTGCAGAACACAGTATAAGAAGAGTCACTGTTACATGCGCCTCATCACCCGAGTAGTGTACAGATGTGAGAAACATACACACACTCGTGGTTTCCAGGAGTATACCTGGGCGGCGAGGAGAGCGTCTGTGAGTTTAGCGGCTGCAGGGATGTCCATCGTGCCTGCTGCCGCCTCTGCTTGCAGCGACTGCAGCTCCTTCGCCTGATGGGGTTGTGGGAGCACAAAGTCAGGTGCAGTGAGGATGGTGCATGCACTGTACCTAGATGGTGCATGCACTGTACATAGATGGTGCATGCACTGTACCTAGATGGTGCATGCACTGTACCTAGATGGTGCATGCACTGTACCTAGATGGTGCATGCACTGTACATAGATGGTGCATGCACTGTACATAGATGGTGCATGGGGGTTGAGACGACTGTGCAATCAAATGTCGCAGCAGACATAGTAAGCCAAGCAGCAGACATAGTAAGCCGAGCAGCAGACATAGTAAGCCAAGCAGCAGACATAGTAAGCCAAGCAGCAGACATAGTAAGCCGAGCAGCAGACATAGTAAGCCGAGCAGCAGACATAGTAAGCCGAGCAGCAGACATAGTAAGCCAAGCAGCAGACATAGTAAGCCGAGCAGCAGACATAGTAAGCCGAGCAGCAGACATAGTAAGCCAAGCAGCAGACATAGTAAGCCGAGCAGCAGACATAGTAAGCCAAGCAGCAGACATAGTAAGCCGAGCAGCAGACATAGTAAGCCGAGCAGCAGACATAGTAAGCCGAGCAGCAGACATAGTAAGCCGAGCAGCAGACATAGTAAGCCGAGCAGCAGACATAGTAAGCCGAGCAGCAGACATAGTAAGCCGAGCAGCAGACATAGTAAGCCGAGCAGCAGACATAGTAAGCCAAGCAGCAGACATAGTAAGCCGAGCAGCAGACATAGTAAGCCGAGCAGCAGACATAGTAAGCCGAGCAGCAGACATAGTAAGCCGAGCAGCAGACATAGTAAGCCCAGCAGCAGACATAGTAAGCCGAGCAGCAGACATAGTAAGCCGAGCAGCAGAGCGGCGCAAGCAAGAGTAGCGGGAGCAGTGGGCAAGGTGAGAAACATAAGAGGACGGGGCTTCTGTGCCCATGGAGTCCACTCCACAGCACAGCAGCGAGGCGCACCTCACGAGGCGGCTTGGCATGCAGCGCGAGGCGAATGCGCTGGTCCAGGGCGAGGGCGTCGCGGTACAGCACCTGGGGTGGGGATGAGGCAGGGCGGGGAGAAAAGGGTGTAGGACAGAGGAACAGGCAGGCAGGCGAGGTTTGGGGGGTTGGGGAGACGTGGTAGCAATGCAAAACTACACATCTCAGTAGAGTCATTCTCAGTCGACGGTCGACCAGCAACTTTGGTTACCGTTCAGCAACAGCGCAGATATCGTGGCAGCAGGGAAGCATCATTGCCTAACCTCGCTCTGACCTCAGAGTGCCACGCCCCTCAGCAACTGCACCAATCAGCACCCATGCACACACCTTGAGCGTCTTATAGTGCGGCTCAATGCAGGGCACGTCAGTGGCAGCCGCCTCCAGCAGTCTCTGCACCTCACACAGCCCTCTCCTCCTCCCGCCCCCACCACTGCCGCTGCTGCCCGCCCCTCGTGCTGCGTGGCTTGGCCCAGCAGCAGGGGGTGAAGAGGAGGGCGGCAGTGACAGCAGCGGGTGGTTGGAGGAGCAGGCAACAAGGGGTGGCGCGGCAGCAGCAGTGGGCAGCGTTTGGCCGCAGCACGCTGCCACCTCGTGCGCCCATGTGAGCGCTGCCAGTGCCTTGTCGTGCACTCGCCGCGCCTGGGAGTAAGGTAAGGGGGAACGGGAGGGGGGGAGGGGGGGGGGAGGGGGGGTTGGGGGTTGAGGTGGCGACCTGGATGAGAAGGATTTAGGGGAGAAGAGGAGAGCGTGGAGCGGCAGCGAGAGGGGAAGCGGATAGAATGTGCGTGAGTGAGGAAAACGGCAGCACAGAGGCACTCACAGCATCGACCTCGTGGCCCGCCCACAGGAACTCCTGCGCCTGGTGCACCAGAGCCACCGCTGCCTCCACTGTGGGCGGCGACCGCAGTGCTACCTTGCCACGTGACGCCCACTGCGCCGCCCACTCGCCGTGCGTCATCATACGCCCCCGCACCCGCCGCTGCTGGGCCACCCAACCCCCGCCACTGCCCGCCCGACACCTGTCCAGAAACTCCTCCGCCTGCACCATCTCGCCCCCGTGCCCCCCTCCCCCGCTCCCTCCTACAGCCCTGCCCCGCATCCACTCTGCCATCTCCGCCTCTGCACTCCCAAGTCCCTCTGCTGCTCCTTTCCCTGCCTGCCTCTTCTCCCACCCTCCCACTCTCCCCATGCCAGCACCATAGCTGATCTGCTCCTTCTTAACGCTCTCCCCACCTTCTTCTGCTTCTGCTGCTGCTGCCGCTTCTGCTGCAGCAGCGGCAGCAGCGGCGGCTCGTCGGCTGCTTCTCCTCACACCGCTGCTCTCTCTCTCGCACTGCCCTCCTTCTATGTCTCCCTCTCCTCCGTTTCCTTCCCTTCCTCCGGATTCCCCTTCGCCTTCCTTGCTCAGCGCATGCCCCACTCTCCCCTTGCTTGCTGACTCCACTGCACCATCACTACAGCTCCCACCCTCCACCCCTTCTTGCTTCACGATCACACCAACATGGCTCTCAAGGCCCCCCTCCGCGCGCCCCTCACGCATGCCCGCCTCACCAGAAGAAGGCTGTGCTGATTGGTCCACGTCAGCAGTTGCTCGGCTGTCACGGCATGGCATCTCCGCAGCATGGTCAGCACCAGTGTCACTGTCACGCCCTGCAGCAATATTAACAGCATCACCACCACTGCCACTCGTCTCACAAGCAGCACACTCCTTGCTTCTCGCGCAACTCTCACCCTCACCCTCGCACCCCCTTCGCTCCCCACCGCCCTCCCCTTCCTTGCTTGCCGGCCTCCCCCCTCCATACCCCCCTGCGAGCACCTTCACGCCAATGCTGGTCAGCCCGCACACGGGCGGGCTGCCCACAGCAGCAGCGCTGGCGCGGCGAGAGTACGTGATGGGCGCACGTGGGGCGCTGCTGCTCGCATGTTCCCCCGCATGCCTGCCAGAGCTGTTGTTGCTCCCTCCCGCTATTGCTGTGCCGCACTCGCTCTTCACCACCACCTCCTCCTCTGCTGCTTTCCCCTGCCCCTCCTTCACACCCTCCTCTCCCCCACTCCCCCCTCGCCCCCCCCCTTGCCCCTCTCCACTACTCTCACTGGCCCCCTTGCCCCACCCATCATCCTGCCCCTTGCGCCGCCCCTCGGCCTGTGCGTGGCCCGTCCCGTTGTCCCCCCCGGCCAGCAGGTCGTCCAGCTCCGCGAGGGAGAAGCGGTACAGCAGCGTGCGGCGCGCAGGCGGGCAGTCGCACAGCTGACACGCGTGCTGGCACGGGGGGGGGGAGGAGGGGAAGGAGGAAGAGAAGAGGTGGGCGTGTGAGAAGCGAAGGGCATGCGCACAGTGGGGAATGAAGCGTGCGGAATGGGAGGGCGACCTCTGCAATGGAAGGTGGCACAGGTAAGACAGGGACAGCCCATACGTGCTGCTGGAGTGTGAGCAATAATTAAAAAGCAGGCACTCGGCGTCTCATACCTGCAGGCACACGGCATCGCGCGGACGGCAGGGGCAGACAACCGCGGAGAGGAAGAGGTAGTAGCGGCAGATGAGGCACTCCCTGTCCTGCTGAGAGGGGGGGGCGCATGCACAGAGGGCAGAGAGGAGGAGGGCGAGAGGCAAGGGGATGGGGCAAGAGACAGAGCAGAACGAACGGAGAACAGGGCTTCTCACAACCTACGAACAGTGCGTCTTCGGAAGAGGCAGTAGTAGCAGATGAGGCACTCCTGTCCTGATCCTGCTGTGAGAAGGTGGGCTGCGACGCACAGTGTGGAGCACACAGAGGAGAGGAAAGCGTGTAGCGGAGGGATGGGGCAGTAGACAGGGGCGCGAAAGCAGAGGGAATTGCCTCTCAGGAGCCATGAACAGTGCCTCTCAGGAGCCATGAACAGTGCCTCTCAGGAACCATGAACAGTGCCTCTCAGGAGCCATGAACAGTGCCTCTCAGGAGCCATGAACAGTGCCTCTCAGGAGCCATGAACAGTACCTCTCAGGGGCCATGAACAGTACCTCTCAGGGGCCATGAACAGTACCTCTCAGGAGCCATGAACAGTACCTCCTCCTCTGTGATGGCATCTGGGCGCGCATGGGGCGCCATGCGTGCGCTCCTCACTGTGCCCTGCGCCCACACCGCATCCCTTGCCCGCCTCTCCCCCTCCACCACCCTCCGCACCTCCGCCCCCGCCACCTGCCTCTCCCCAGCTAGCAGCCCCCGCTGCTGGTTCTGGTGGCCGACAGGGAGGGAAATGGGAGGGTGGGGTGGGGGGACCCGAGAAGGGAGGAGGAGAGGAGAGGAGAGGAGAGGAGAAAGACAGCTTAATGACATGGCATGCCATGCATGACGGCAAAATGGTGTGATGGCATGCTGGCATGATAGCATAGCACGAGAGCATGGCATGACGGTAGATGGCGGGATGGCATGATCATGCATTGGCATGAGAGCACAAAGCCATCCAGCAACGTTTAGGGTGGCCAAGCGTGCAAATGAGAATGCACCCAGTCCACCCCATGCACCCCAGCACACGTGGCACTTGCTCTCACCAGCAGCAGCACACGTGGCACTTGCTCTCACCAGCAGCAGCACACACAGCATCTCCTCGTGTGAGATGATGGACTTGCGGCGGAACAGCCGGTAGCGCTCCACACTGAGGGCGCCCCACGGCAGCCAGTCGCACGGCGCCAAGTTCACCGCCTCCGCGCAGTTCACCCCTGCGCGCGAGAGGGCAGTGGGTGGGTGGCAGGGGAGAGGGGAGGGGCGTTCAGGCCCCCAGGGAGAAAGAAAGGTTGAACATTTTCAGTCTGGTGCGAGAAGTTGGTAGGGCATGGAAGAGAATCAGCATTGTTGACTGACAGCGTGCATGCATGCATAGTGATGTCCCCTCGTGCTCAACAACCCGGTGCGGGCCGGAGGAGGGGAGGAATGAAGAGGAGGGGAGGAATGAAGAGGAGGAAGGGAGGAAGGGGGGAGGAGAACCTACCTTGGTTGAACCCGGCATGGTAGGAGCGCGGGAAGGTGACGACAAACTCGCGCGCGGCCTGCACGGTGCGGAAGATGGGCACTCCCGCTCGCTGCAGTGCCATGGGGTGTAACATGGTAACCAGCTGGAACAGCAGGTCCGGCTGCGCCTCAAAGAGGTCTGGGAAGGCCGACCGCATCACCTGGTGGTGCGGTAGCAGGTTGGGCGACAGGAGGAGATAGGGAGGAAGACATTGAGGTGAGGAAGAGTGTGAGGGAGGTGATGATGGGGATGGAAATGGTGAAAGGGATGGGGACGGGGATGGGGATGAGGGAAGGAGAGTGGAGCGTTAGAAAGAATGGGGAAGAGGGATGTGGTGGCGGTTTATGGGCATGTGCGGATGCCCACACGTGCATTCACACCACACCACACCACTCTAACAACCTGCATCACAGTTCAGCAACACACGGGTTACAGAGCGCAGCGCTCACCTGCTCGAAGGCCTCTGCTGCATACCCCGGCACGCCGTACCACAGCTTCGGCTCGCCCCTGCCGCCACCACAGAAGCCCACGCAGCAGCCACAAGGCGACAGCAGGGAAAAGGAGGGGAGAGTGGGAAGGGAGGTCACTGGTGAGAAAGGGTGGCCAGAAAAAAGAACATGCGGGAGAGAATAGAATGGAGGTAGGCGCAGCTGTGCAGTGCAGGCACAGGCTGGTCCCTGGGCCACAATGTGCAATGAGAGGGAAGCATGAGGAACGGGGTTCTACCAGTGAAAGAGGATAAGAAGCCCATGAGGGAAGGCGCGTACCAGTGGAGGTAGTTGATGGAGTAGAAGCAGTGGTCTTCGAAGTGCCAGCAGAAGGCGGACATTGTCATGCCCATGTACAGCCATGGCACGATCACCCCCGGGATCGCGTCCTCCACATACCGCAGCACCGACGCCGCATCGCGTGCCATGTTGTTCACGTTCCACCGCGCCTCCGCATACTCCCGCCACCGCGCCTCACTCACACCGCTCTGCACCGCATGCGCCAGCACAGGCTCGCCTCTCCTGGGGAACCCGCTGCCACAGGCGCCGGTGTCGATATCGCTGCCATAGAGGGTTTCCACAGGGCCTGCGGCCCCGTCCACTACCCGCCAAAAGGCTTCCTCCAGCTGCGCGGGCGTCAGCGCGCCGCCCAGTTTTGCGCCGAAGAGCCGCTCGCGCAGCGTGTGGTCGGCGCGCTGCAGGGCGGCGATGGAGATGCTGCCGCCCGACGTGAAGCCAAAGGTGTCGTGCGGGCGGGCCACGCAGTCCTGGCAGAACCACGTGCCGGGCGGCACGGTGGAGAGCGGTGGAGAGAGGCAGAAGAGGTGCCAGCCGCGGTCGCAGCGGTCACACAGCAGCATCTGGTCCTCATGCCCCCCTCCTCTGCACCTCTCACACACCGCATCCGCTGCCGCGTCCTCACTGTCCGAGTCGGAGCCATCAGCGCCCTCTGACTCCCCCCCTTCGCCCTTCCCATCGCCCTCCCCTTCCCCCTCCCCCTCCTCCCCTCCTGTCTCGCCTTGCCGGTACCTCACGGCCTTCGCTGCGCGCCAATGGCTGCTGGATCTCCCGCCACCCTCACCCGCACTCAGCTCACCGCTGCTGCTGCCATCGCTCCGTTTCTGTGACTTGCTGCCTCTTTCCCCCTCCGCCTCCTTTTCCTGTCGTTTTCGTTTCCCATCGGCGGCAGGCCCAGTCTCCCCGTGCGCCTCGTTGCGCCCATCGTCCGCCTGCGCCCTGCCCGCGCCCGCCTCTCTCCACGCCTCCAGGTCGTCCAGCCGCCACCGCCGGTACACCGCCTTCAGCCCCCCCGCGTCCATGCTCGTCCGCTTCCCCGGCCCTTCCCCTTCCCCCGCGCCCGTCCCGCCCTGCAGCACCGACCGCAGCACGTCCCCCCATGCCCTGCTCTCACTCACGCGCGCAAACCCCCCCCGCCGCTGCACGGCGTGGAAGAGCGCGCAGATGTCCACCGCGCCCGCGCGCATGGCTTCCGCCGCCACCACCGCCCTCTCCTCCGCAGAAACCCCCTTTTTCCCCGCTCCCATCCCCGCGCGCGCAAGAGCGCGCTGCAGCGCCGGCGGGTGCGCAAGGCGGAGATCCGCGAGGAAGCGGAGGTAGTCGAGCGCAAAGGTGGCGGGGTCGGCGGGCGCGGGGCGGCGCTGCAGCTGGTGGAGCGCCTGCACCTTGGTACGGAAGCGGAACTTGGCGCGGTCCAGCGCGAACGGCGGGTCCCAGCCGGGCGGGGGGACTATGCGACACATGCCGCACGGCTCTGCGATCGGGCGAACGCGTGCGATGAATCGCAAGGGGTCGGCGAACTCCTCGGGCGACGGGTGGAAGACAGGGCACTCGTGCAGGGAGACGGTGGGAACGCGCGAGGGGCCTGACGGTCGACCCAGGAGCGGCGCTGCCTTGGCGGTGCTAGGCGCTGCGTTGCTACTCGTGGGAGCCTTAAAGCTAATAGTCGATGCTTTGGTGCTAACCGGTGCTTTGGTGCTAGTCGCCTGCCCAGACTGCTTTGGCCCTGCGCCTCCCCTCATCCCTCCTTCCCCCCCCTTTCTCTTACACGGCTGCCTCCCAGCCTTACTCTCTAAGCCCTGTGACGTGCTTCTACCGCTGCTGTCGTTGCTGCGAAAATCCCACTTCCTCGCTACGTCGCGACACCTCGTGAGACGGGTACCCTGGTCGCACGGTGTGTGCCTGCTCGGATCTGTGCCGTCGCTGCCCGTCGATGGCCCTACTGCAGCTACAGCTGCCCTTTCACTGCCTGATACAGCTGCCCCTTCCCTGCCTCGTACATCTCTCCTTTCACTGCTGGCTGGATCTGCCCCTTCACTGCCTGCTACAACTGTTCCTTCCCTGCCTACTTCAGCTATCCATTCGCTGCCTGCGCCTCGTTTTGCGACTCCTGATTCTTCGCCCGCATCTACCGTTCCCCCTGTCTCCGTTACACAAACTACTGCGGCTGCTGCTGCTACAGCCGGCAATGCAGCAGAGGTCTTCGTGAATTCGACTTGGCTTACTCCCGTCCCTCCGCCGCCATCTGACGATCTGTCCGCTCGGACCGATACTGCTTTAGCCATTATTAATGAGTGAAGACGATGGAACCTGAATAACGAACGATTGAACTACAGATGAAACCCTAGATGGCCGACACTACAGATGCCTGGCTCTATGCTGGTTTGGCTTGGACCTACTATTTCGAGGGAAGCTGAACAGCTTGATGGTTTGATCAATTTGCTTTCTCGAACTGTGTCTGTTGCCAGCTCCCCAAATTCGACCTTTCGCGAGCCACTATGTCGTCTGACGAGGTTCACGATTTTTGTTACAATAAGTCACGACGGTCGTGAGTCCCGCGCGACGTCTGCGAGCAGTGGTGGTAATTGCAAGAAAACCATTGTTCTTCAGAAGAGAGGGAGCGTTCATCAGAGTCCAGCATAAATGTGGTCCTCGAACTTGGAAATTTGCACCCAAATTTGGAGAGCGTTCTGTGTAACAACCCTTTCATGTTCGCTAGTCGGGGACCTTCTGCTCGATTGGTTTTCGCTCCGTTCAGGCTCATACACTTCAGCGACCTCGCCTACGCCTCAAAGGCCATAAAATTGGTTACTGTAGTTCGCCAATTGAGCTAGTCCTCACATGCTGTTGGAGGTGGGTCGTGAAAGTTTCAACAACAGAGGAGACAAATAACCCGAAATAGAAAACTAGGTTCCGTGTGCGATATTATCGTGGGAAACCCAAAAACGGGACACCTGAGAAGGCCACGTGTACCGACGGACTTTGCTGAGGTGGACAAGCCTGGGAACGGGACCACGCTAGCCCGAAATGTCGGGAACATTCGGAAGCACTGTACATTTGGGCACCCAGCAGAACAAATCAACCTTGCTAGTTATTGGAAACATCTTGCTTCATAACGGAAACGTCACCTTCCATACCGCGTACAAAAACAGCTCATGTGCTTGATGGTTTGCTATTGACAATTCGCAAAGGGCACCGTGTTGTGCCAGTGATTCGTGATTTGTGAACGATAGTGCATCGCGTTCATTCAGATCATTTCCGTCCCTGCGATTCACACGAGTCAAGCACGGCGAGAGAGATGTGGATGCTCCTTGCAAGCAGTCGCACACATTCCGTTCTGCAACTCACTCGAGCCAAACCCAAAACAGGCTCCCACGGGATCAAATCATTCCTTGTCGTCGTGATTCACGGGGCCAAACACATATTACGTTCCTAGCATTCTTTACGATGGCGCAGCGACTTCCATGCTTGGCTCGCGCTCATAACTCGCTCAATATCTCACCAGTTCATCGCACTACAGTTTTCATCACAAGCTATTCTTTCCATTGCCTTTCACTTCTCACGGAGTACATCGCACTAAGATTTCCTTGCACTGAACAGTACTTTTTTTCGACCCATAGTGCTTGTTATTGGAAAAGTACCTTACAACTTGGAGCCTGTGACTTGCTCGTGACAGCAAGAGATTCTCTGCTGCGCCACTATTGTTGGAAGTGGACACTGGAATGGCCCAAATTGTTCTCCCTAAGGGCTACAGGTGTTGTTCTGGGGGGTATGGGTGCCCATTTATTCCAGTTGGTTAGCGGACTGGAATGTTATCCCTGCATGGTGCGGTGAGCGTGGAGGACCGGGGTTCGATTCCTGCTGTTGGCGACTTCCTGTGCCCTAGTGGTGGGCCCTCCCAGTGAGGGGAGTGTTGGAAGTGGACACTGGAATGGCCCAAAGTGGTATCCCTAAGGGCTACAAGTGTTGTCCTGGGGGGTATGGGTGTTGTCCATAGGCGCTTCTTTGATGGGGAGCATCCGCTGCGAGTGCCTCGCACCCCTCTTTCCTCTGACCCTTTCAGTGTGCAAACCTTCGAGGATGTGGGATGGCAATCTCGCCAGGAAGAGGAGTACAGGCAGAAGGTGGGATCCATGCAGTTCGCGGTCTGTACCACCCGTCCCGACATCTTGTTCGCCTGCAGCAAGTTGGGGTCGGGCCAGAATGTGCGGAGTGATCAGCACTGGAAGGAGTTGGACCGGTGCTTGGCGTACTTGGTGGGGAGCAGGGATGTGGCGCTGGAGTTTGGTGGCAGAGTTTCAACTACTGAGGAGAGAAAAGCCCACTACCCTCTTTGTGGACAACTCCTCCGCCATTTCAGTGGCAGGTGGCTTGGGGCTCAAGGGGAGCCTCAAGCACATGGAGCGTCGCCACATGTGGCTGCAGCACATGGTCAAGCGCAGAAAGCTGCAGCTGCAGTACATCCCTACGAGCGAGCAGCCGGCTGACTACCTTACCAAGGCGTTGCATTTCCCCGCCTTCAGCCATTGCTTCGAGGCTGTGGGGCAAGTGAGGCTCTCGAGCGAGGGGAGTGAGACCTAGACACTCCATGATGGGGATGGTGCCATGGCCTATCCATGGCTGGTGCGGTGCGTGTTTGCACGTTGAGAGTGTCAGAATAGTGAACGAATGAATGGCTGAACTAGAAAGCAGGTGGGTACAAGTAGGAAACCTAAAAGTGTTGTACCCTATATGAACTACCCCACTACAGCTTAAACAGACTATAGCATATAAGTTTGACACACCCCGATAGGCAAAGTGGGGGAGAACAAGAGAAACAAGACCGGTCAAGAAAGGCAAAGCAAGCTCAGGGTGGATCACGACGTCACCACGCATTCTGAGCACAAGAAAACGGTCACAAGGCCAGTTCACATGCAGAGTTATATAAAGGAGAACAAGCAATACACTGATCACAACCTAGCAAGTATAAGCATGCAAGTATATGTATAGAGATCACAGTACAAGTAGAGTCAAGAAGTAAGCAAGTGAGGCACAGTAGGTACAAGGCCTAACACAGTACAGAAACGCTGATGATCACAAGGCTGAAGTGCCTTGGTGAAAACATCAGCAGTGTTGGCCCGAGAGGTCACGTAAGCAAGACGAAGCTGACCACGCTGCTGCAACTCTCGAGCAAGGAAGTAGCGCAGAGCAATGTGTTTCGTTCGGTGCTCCAGTCTGTGCTCCTGACACAAGGCAAGCATTGCCTTGTTGTCGACGTACAGAACTGGAGGAGAACGAGGCGCCTCTCCCAAGTCGGTCAGCAGGTAGGTGAGCCAGCGTAACTCCTGTGCAGCCATTGCCCCAGCGTAGATCTCAGCCTCACAACTGGAGCTGAGAACAGAAGACGAGCGGGTAGACCGCCAAGAGACAGAACCGGAGCCAAGGCTGAAGGTGTAACCCTGTAACGACCGTTGCGTAGCCAGGTCATCAACCCAAGAAGCGTCTGCGTGTCCAGTGAGGACAACTCGAGCCCGTCCTCCAGGCACAAGCCGCATGCCCGACGTACTGCACAAGTAGCGCAACACCCTCTTCGCAGCATCCCATTGCACCTTTCGGTGCCTGCCGGGAGCCACGTAGCGAGCCAAAAGGCTGAGAGGGTACGCGAGGTCAGGTCGTGTGCAAGTCATCAGGTACATGAGGCAGCCCACAAGCTCTGGATACGGGCCACTCGGCTCTACGGACTCGTCCGAAGGTGGAGCTGAGAGCGAGTGACCGGTAGGCAGAGGAGTGGACTGTGGCGAGGAGTACGTGAGGCCGAAGCGCTGAAGGACCTGCTGCACCATGTGTGACTGAGTCAAGGTAATGGTGCGCTATGCTCTGTCCCGGATGATCCGCAAGCCAAGATAAGCTGTCAGTTCACCCAGGTCTGTGCACGTGTGTCTCTTCTGCAGCTCCGACTTCACGTGGGCGAATGCCTCAGTGTCAGCAGTAGCAAAGACCAAGTCGTCTACGTACACGAGAACGTAGAACGGCGGCAGATTGGCGTCGGTGTGTAGAAACAGCAACGGGTCAGCAGTGGAAGGAGCAAAACCAAGAGCAGCAAGAGTCGTCCTCAGTGTGTCGTGCCACTCACGGGGCGCTTGGCGGAGACCTTAGACAGGCCGTCGGAGGCTCCACTGGGTACCAGCAGGAAACGACCCAGTGAAGCCAGGTGGGCGGCGCAGCCAGATCTCCTCGTGCAGGCTGCCCTGCAGGAAAGCTGTGTTGAGGTCCAGAGAGTGCAACTCGTAGTCACGCTGAGCAGCGACGTGCACCAACACCCGAAGAGTAGTCATCTTCGGGGTGGGGGAGAAGGTCTGGAAGTAGTCAACTCCCTGTCGCTGACTGAAGCCTCGTGCAACGTAACGCGCCTTGAAGACAGGCGGAGAACCCGGCGGCCGCTTCACCCTGAAAATCCACATGCCACTGACGATGTTCGCCCCACGCGGGGGAACCTTGTCGACGTAGGTGCCTGTGGACTTCCAGGATGCCGTCTTGGCATCCATGGCTGCCTGCCACTGAGAGGAGTAAGGACCCTCTATCGCCTCTGCGTAAGAGCGCGGGGTCGGGATGTCTGGTGCATCCGGGTCTCCCTTAGGGGCAAGCAGCATGGACACGAGATGAGGTACAGCAGCGTCAATGCACTCAAACTCCTCCTGTCTGTCCTCAAAGACGTCCGTGCCAAGAGCACACTCACCCCCGATGGACAAAGGACAGACAGTTGCAGACTCAGACTCAGCAACAAGACGAGCGGCGTAGTCTAGACGACAGTGAGCAGCAAAGTCGACAAGCTCAGCAACTAAGGCAGACGCAGTAGTGGACTCAAAGGAAGGGTCAGTGACAACAATGGCCAAGAGACGCGTGACAGTACGACTAGCAGTACGAAGGGAGTCAGACTCCGGGTCGGCAAGTGCAGGAAGAGAGGACGTAGGAGGAGACGGCAGAGGGACACGCTGCTGGGCAGTGGAAGGACTCAGAATCATAGAGTGAGTGCCGGGGACAGGAGGAGGACGCTGACGCGGAACACGACGACCAGTGCGAACAGGGCGAGACTCATGCGACGCAGGACGAGACTCAGGCGACCCAGGACGAGACTCAGGCTCATGACGCTCCATAAGACCTCTAGTCGGTCCAGAGTAAGGAGAAGGACCACGCAGAGGAGAGGCTGGGTGTAACCTCGACTGTGACAGGACATGCAGTGGACTCAGTAAGGGAGGAGGAGGACAAGTAGAAGGCGGGAGACCAAGAACCATCTGAAGGAGCGGAA